GGACATCGAGACCGCACTCAATAGCAAAGATGGACGCATCCCTCAGAGGTTTACCCTTTTTAGGTAATGACATACTTGTAGTTTATCTGACGTTTGTATTCACATTCAATTCAAACAATAAAATCTTTACATTTAATATATTCATTGATTCTCTTGATTTTATTTATTAACAAAACTATGATTTGTGTGAAATGTTTGGTGTTTTACTCTCAAAACTAAGTCTTCAATATTGTTCTCAATCTTACCTTTACTTGAATTTAATTTTCATTCAATAATCACTACAAAAACTTATTATTTTCAGTCAGTCTTCGTTCGACAAAATCAAGAGTTTATTCCACAAAAATGAGTTAAATTTTAAATAAAATTAAATCTTTTATTAAATGTATAATTTGTGCACATTTTATCAAAATTATTACAAATGTAGTGAAGTTAACATTTGTCATAACTTTCGAACAGGAGTAAGACGATTTATTTCATTCACAAACAGTAACCTAATGTTGAGTTAATCACATTATAAAAAGTTTATTATTAAAATAGGGTATAAAAAGAGAACTTTTTATATTTATATAAAATTTATAAATGAATAGTTATAATAAATGTTAATCGCCTAATTAGTTAATACCTTGTATAATAAATTTTATTTATTTCCAATGATTTTGAAATATTGTATAAATTTTTACTGTTAAATCTAATAAAAATGATAAATATTCTTTTATATATTACTGAATTGTTTATTAAATGCATATTTTAATGATATATTTGACGAATATACTAAAATATACTAGAATGAACTGTCCTACAATAATGTACTGAAAAGCTGTTGTATGAAATGTTCAAAATAAATAACAATTGTTTTTGAATTAAACATTTTATTAGATTTTATTAAATACCAAGTTCATAACTTTATTAGAATAAGTTGATCTAGCTAAAAATGAATCCAATTGTGCCCTCAATTATGGTAGTTTACATCATTTTGTCAAAATCTCAGAAACACATACTGAACGGAAACCCCCTTTTCTTAAAATAACTAAAATGTGTTGTTTTTAGCGTCACTTTAATTATCTCGAAATGATTTATTGATTTTTCCGGAGTTTTGTTTTCATAACAACAGGTATTTTAATATAATTTCAATTTATTTTGTTTCATCAAAATTGACTTTATTTTCTGTTATATTTGGCGTTAGTTTGCACTGAATTTTCCAATAGAAAGCTGAGAATTATATGCATTGTGTAAGGAATGGGCGGTCGATCAGAATATAGGCGAAGTAGTTATACAGTCATAGAAATGATGGACCGGTACTAATAGTACCACTTTTTCTACAGTGCTTTCAGTTACGAAGTATTAATGCGATTGAAACACATTTAATAGTATTGTATTTAGTATTGTATTAAAAATATTGGAATCCACTGAGAAGTATAGGAAATGTTGGTTTTCGGGTCATTCAGCTATTTTGAGATTTCCGCGAAACTATTGTTTCCAAAGTTGACAATACTTTCTGCTTTCCCTTTCATTTGAACAAATGATCTGATCTTCAGTTATGGTCGACATCACAAATCTTATCCTCGTTTCTATTAAAATCATTTTTTACTCCATATTCTCCTATCTGTTCCTCGCATTTGCACCGATTCTCTTAGACATAGAACCAAGCTCATTTAAGTAAGTATTCACTCGATTCTTCAGTTTTTTCCATTAGAGTAATTGATGTCTAAAATTCAGTATAACTCTGCCGGAGACATTTGACGGCCCACTCACAGCTAATAATAAACTTTCAGAAGCCGACCATTTGTTTGTGAATGAAATAAAAGGTCCGGAATCATTGGCCGTTTGGAAAGGTGTTGAAATTTTCGTATTATTTGAAAATCTTATAAACATTATATTAACATCTTAATAAAAAAAATATTTTTAATATATAGTAATTTTAACAGAATACTTATCTGTTATTTTACTGAAAATTCATCTTTTTAAAACATTTTAAAACAACAGGTGATGTCTACACCGGTCTATCGGACGGGCGTATTGTTCGCATTCGGAAGGATAGGTATAAAACTGTGGCCCAATTCGGTGATCCCGCGAAGTGTGTTAATCCATGGGAAATGGAAAAATGCGGCCGTCCTTTAGGTCTATTTAATTTTTATTGAAAATTATTAATAGATTTAAATTAAATGAGTGATTGTGTAAAAGGGATGAGATTTGACTCAAAGGGTACGCTATATGTTGCCGACGCTTACTATGGTTTACATACAGTGAACGTAACGTCAGGTAAAGTGAAGAGAATATTGACGTCGAAGAAACCGATCGCAGACCTGAGACCCAAATTCTTGGATGACTTAGTCATCAATGAAGATGAAAATGCCATCTATTTTACGGATGCGAGCAATAGATGGGATTTAAAGAATGGTTTGCATTTATAAGTTGTCTTTTATTTATATTTTATTTATTTGTTCGTTAAAAGATATTTAAAAATTGTTTTTTTAAAAGTTTAAAATTCTAATGAATTGTTTAGTCTTTTATACGGTTGGAGAACACGACGAAAGCGGAAGAGTCATTAGGTTTGATATGCGGACCAAGAATTCAACGGTTGTTATGAAATCTTTGGGATTTCCGAATGGAATTGAATTAACGGACGATAAGAAAGCTCTTCTGGTCTGTGAATTCAATAACAGAAGAATTATGAAACACTTCATCGATGGTGACAGAAGAGGTCAGACAGACATCTTCTCATTCAACCTGCCGGGAGAGCCGGACAAGTGAGTGAACTCTTTATAAACAAACAATAAAGTTTGAATACATGTGTTAAACAAATATACTTTATTAATGATAAGCATCCGGAGAAGTAGCGATCCGTACAGAGAGACCTATTGGGTGGCACTGGCTATGGGTCGCAATGAGAAGAACCCGTCCTTTGCGATCGACGTCCTGAGCGGTTGGCCTAAGACTCGCAAAGCATTGCTCAGAGCCTTACATACAGTGGGCTTTGGACTCGAATATATCGGAAGATTCCTTCATTTCAGACCATTGATTGAGTTGGGATTCAAGACAAAGACCGGTTCCCTTATATTCCATACAATCACTCACTACGGAATGGCCGTTGAGTTGGACACCGAGGGAAAGGTTGTCCAGTCGTTGCACTCACCCGACGGTAAGACAACTCTTTTGTCAGAAGTGCGGGAAGTGGTGGTGGGGGACACAAAGGTGTTGTATTTGGGATCGTATGGCAACAACTATATCGGCAAAATAAATTTGGGTAAACTGTCGAAAATACAGCGACCACTCCTCACACACGAGAAGAAACAATACATTGAAAACCAGAAACAGAAGTCAAAGAAATCCAAACCAAAGGCTTACAAACCGTACGAACCGTTTGATCTCCAGAGTCCTAATTTCGGACAAAACCAACAGAAGAGTCAACAGGATTTTGGTGATCGATACGATTTGCCCAAACCTCCCAAACCTCCCA